ATTTAGATATCGGGGACTAAGCTTAGTTAGTAGAGAGCAACTAATATATACTATCGGATAGAGTATATAGAGGACTTTCTATAAGATACGGTCGGCCTAGCGGAGGGAGACCTCTCTAGGTAACGCGAAACGAGAGTAAAAGCTCTCACAGGGCGTAGTATATAATAGTAGCTACTATAGTAGGGTCGGGGCCTATTAAGAGACTATCTATATAGCCTAAGAGGACGGATACGCGTATCGGTATATAAAAAGCCGGAAATTAACTACCTTACTTATATTGAGGGCCTAAGATTAGGTTAATCTGATTAAAGCGGTATCGTCCTAGTTGATTTGCCTATAATGTATGCTTAAGGAGTAAACTGAGAGATACCTAGGGTAAGAGGCTTTGTCTACCTTAAGAGTCTAGAAACCTTATTTATCGGGTGAAAAACTAGGGTAGTGGTCTATATAAGTAGACCTATCGAAGCTACTTAATATCTTTTAGGCCGACTCTCGTACTATAGCTATATTCGAGGATATATACTAGGCACGGCGGGTATAGACTCAGACTATTAAGAAGGCTAAGATATCCTATAGAAAATAGTTCCTAGACGAAGTAGGAGAAGGGAAATTATAGAAGGCAGCGACGTATATAAAACCACGAGACTCCTAGGGCTACATTCCCGCCCTTAAGGTTAGCGATATAGAGCTAGTTAATAACGTAGAGAAAGCTTAGGCGTTTATAGACTCGTCCTTCCTATCTATAACGTCTATATAAGAGGAAGCACCCGCCCGCGCCCTAACCGAGATCCGATAGTATCTAATCTCCGAGATTAAAATCTATCGATCTCTTAGGGCTACTAAAGGTATAATAGCACTAGGCGAGGACGGTCTACCTATATTAATCTAGAAACGTCTCTAGAAATATCTCGGAAATATTATTATAAAGATTTTTACGTCGTCGATTAAACTAGGATACTACTTATAGCGATAGAGAAGCGCGCGAATTATAGTCCTATAGAAGCCTAGGAAACTAGACTACTCGCTATCTAGAGCTTACCGCCCGATCTCGCTACTTAATAGACTCGGTAAGTTATTAGAAGCGGTAATAGCCCGGCGGCTATCCTTCTTCGCGGAGTACTATAGTCTTCTACCGGATACTTAGTTTAGAGGACGTCCGGGACGAATAACCGAGTAAGCCCTCCTAATACTTACTAACGTAATCGACCGGGCGTAGTATAGATAGAAGGTCGTCTTACTAGTATCCTTTAACCTAAAGGGAGCCTTTAATAGGGTAAATAAGATAAGCCTAGACGTCCGCCTCTAGTCTAAGGGTATCCTATCGGTAGCCTAGAAGTAGATTTCGAGCTTTATAAGTAGGCGCTAGGCGAGTATTAGATTTAACGACTACTAGACCGAGGTAGCGCCGCTAGTTAATACCGGGCTTATATAAGGCTCTCTACTCTTACCTATCCTCTTTACGTTCTTTAACTATAACCTAGTCGACTAGCCGGTCGATTTTTACGGTAGGGTATCCGCCTTTATCGATAACTACTTCCGCTAGCGAGTTAGCTAGAGCGCTAAAGAGAACCTAGCTAAAATCTAGTCCGAAGATATACCCCGGATCGAAGCCTAGGCCCGGCGAACCGGGTCCTACTTCGCCGTAGAGAAGACCGAACTTATTTATATTACTTATAAGAGGAAAGAATAGAGCTAGGGCTAGCTTATTATAAATAGTAATACTATCAAACTATCTACGACCGCTAGACTCCTAGGTATAATCTTCGACTATAAGTTACGGTAGAAGGAATACGTATAATAAGCCGTTAAACGAGCTATTAAGGTTAATATCGCGCTTAGGGGTTTATAATAACTCCGTCTAGAGTAAATACGATAGCTTTACGAAGTGTACGTTATACTAGTTATCGACTACGTATCGACCGTCTAGTATGATCCGCTTTGAAATAAGACCTATCTACGATACCTCTATACCGTATAACGAGCGGCGCTTATCCGCGTCCTATCTATATTTCGAACGGTAGTAATAACTATACTTAATATAGAGGCGTATATACTACTAACGTACCTTCGTTTACGCTATTATATATAGAATACTATTATTAGACTATATACCCTACCCTAAAAATATCCTATATAGAACGCCCTAAATCGAGCCTAGAGAAGACGTAATAATCGTAGATCGTTCGCTCGGTTCCCGCTATTAGAAGCCTTAAAAACTATAAACTTAGAGAGACTATAGGAAATCGAAATGATTGATCTAACCCTACTACTACCTTAGCGAAAAGAAGCCTTCTCGAAAAATCGAGATTAAATTAGATAGGGAGATCGCGATAGAAAGGGCCGAGGCTATACGGTTAACCGCGGATATCGTGGTATACTCGGATGCCTCGGGAAGAGAAGGTTATCTAGGTACCGTAGCGGCCGCGTTAAATAACTCGCTAGAAATAATCGATAGTATATAAGTATAGGTTGGACCTATAGATCGGTAGTCCGTATATACCGCCGAGCTAATTAGGGTCCTATACGCTATTAATATTATTAATAAGGTCGCTCTCCGATACTAGAGAATATCCTACTCGCGGGTAGGATCTACTACTATCCTTAGTAACAGCAAGTCGGCCCTATAAGCAATCTAGAATCCCGGGAATAAGTTAGGATAATAGATTATCTATACTATTCTATAAGTAGCTAGGAACACTAAGACCTACGGCACGTCGATACGACTATAGTAGATACCCGGATACTACGAAGTTCTAGGGAACGACGCTACCGATTTACTAGCTAAGGAGGTAGCTATACTAGGAAAAACTTACCCGTTTTACTATTTACTATTACGCGAGAGAGTATATATTAGGTAAGGGATCTACGCCTAATAGAAGAACGAATAGAACGGCTCGAGTACCGGCGCCTATCTACGTTAGATCGACAATATACTACCGGCTAAGTATATTAGACGGCTCTACAGCTCCCTACCTAGAAATCGAGCGTACTTATTCGCGTAGTTACGAACCGGATACTACTAGTTGTTAATATACGTAAAGACTTTCCGATTCCGAGACGACGATCTATACGTCTATAGTAAACGGGAAAGCGTTCACTACATATTATTAGATTGCCTATGATTAAGAGAACTAAAGAGAGAGCTACGAATTAAGGTTAGCGATGCTTTTAATAGTATATCGATACTATTAGGTAGACTAAGAGAAGAAGGAAGAGGTAAGAGTAACAGTATATCACGGACTAAGATAGTAGAGGCTATCTTAGATTTCGCTAAAGCATCGTAACGGTTTCAAAGCCGCGCGCTATAAGGGCAGCATAAATATAACGACGGTATAGAGGCCACGGTAGGCCTCGGCGAGGCTCTAAGTTCGCTTAGGAAGTAGTATACGATATATATACATAAGAAGGTATATATAGTAGTTATAGGCTGTATATCGTTTCGACGAGGGGTTAGCGTAAATAAATTATATACGTATATATATACTATACTAAAGAATACAAAATGAAAACCTCTAAGTTCCCTACTCTATAATTATATGCTAGATACTTATCTCTCGATATAATATTCTACCTCCCCGTACCCGTAAGAGTAGCAAAGTAATAGTACTTTAAATAAAGCTTACGACGGATATATGCCGTTCGAGATTCCTAGCATCTACGTAGACGTTATATTCCGCGTATAAGTGCGGTTGGTATATAACAGATATAATAAATTCGTAAAAGGTGACCTCGGATATATATAATATATAGTATAACTTAAAGTTTCAACCTCGAACCTAGTGAATATAGTAGTCTACGATCTAGGCAAGCCCTTTATACTCGCTACCTCTTACTTATATACTATAAATCTAATACCCGTATTTTTACGCGTAAAAACGCGTCCTTTACCCGGTAATGACCGCGTTGCGATGAGCGTAAAGTGCTACTTCCTAAAACGGGGGTTTAACGTTGGATCTACTTAACAGTACCTATTGGCTAGAGCGCTTAACGCGAATACGCGAGTATATTGTTAGTTATACTACCTCGTTGCATAGCGGAGCCTACGATATTCCTAGCGTTATACTATCTATGCTATTACTAGATTTACCTTACCTATATCTATATAAATTTGGCCTACTCCGCTCCTAGGATTAATAATCCTCTAAAACCTATATAGCTTTAGTAATCCTATTTAAAAACATTAAGCGGAACTCTATATATTCCGTTATAAATTACGCCGATCTTAATAGTAATATCTCTCTTAATATAAGAATACAACCGAGCTATATCGTTAGTAGCGTCTATTTAGGAGTAGGTATTAGCTTTCTTCGACGGAAGAAAATCTCTAGTAATAGTTGCTTATAGCGATCTTTATCTTATAACCGATTCGGGATATCGCTAAAGCTACTAGCTTAAGCCCCTCCCTATAACACCCTATAGCTTATTAAACCTTTTAAGAAATACTAATAGAGGTTTTATTATACTCTTAACTCTAACGTTATAAGGAAGTATATAGGTCTAATATAAGAGATAGCGAGACTCTCTACTATAAAGCCGGACTTCGTTAAATTTAGAGGAGTAAGAGACTTATTTAAAAAAAGCCGAAGATAAACCGGAATAATCTAACGAGCATTATTCGGCGTTATATACCGGGTTAGGATATTAAATTATTATACGTAACACTAGCTCTTAGATCTCGATAGGTAGATAAATATCCTAAGAATTTAAAACGCGGTTCTTTACTCGCGACTAAATCATCCTAAATTCTCGCCCTAATTCCCGTAGCCTACCTTATAGTAGCTAGTATCACTCTACCCGGGAGTATCTTCGATAAGCCTCCTTTTATACCGCCGCTAATAGCAGAGAAAGTCTTACTGATAAACGCTAGACGTATCTTAAAATACCTTAAAAGACTTTATCGCGTATATTATTAGCCGAATCCCTAGTAGGAGGTACGACTCGGACTATAGATTTATAACTAAGTACTAAGTACCTTAAGCGTTAATAAATCTCTTTAAGTTTACGTAGAGGAGAAGATACGGTAAGTACGCTACGATTACCTACTAGAGATATAGATCATATCTAAACATTTATTCTAGATACGACTACGATATTCGTCGTTATCGTTTTATAGTCCGAATGCTATATCCCTTATATAATATTTTTTCTACGAATATAGTAGACGGTATATTATAACAAATTAGATAATTCTAATAATATAATAGCCCTACCGGGGAGTTCGCTCGAGGACTTAAGTACTATACAATATTACGAATTTTTTTACCTAAAGAATTAGATAATAGAAAGTAGGTATTCACTAGACGTAAGCTAGATATATTATTTAGGTATAATAGAGCACTTTACCCTAATATAATCCTCGAGGTTTATTATTCGTAGAAGAGTAAAAGTATCTCTTATCTAGCGGATAATTATATACTAAATATAGATAGAAGTATAAATATAGTTATTGCCTTAGATATCGATTATCGGGGCTCTTAAAAAGCAAGTTTTACCGTTTAGCGACCGGACTACCTTAAAGCGAACGGTATAAAGGAGCTTTATATAAAGGCTATAATCGAAGTAGAGGTATATATCTCCTAATAACCTTAAGCTAAAAGTAAATAAAAAGATAACCTAATCGATATAGGTCTTTCGAAATAACGATAGATCCCCGGCCGAAGGGGTAGCCTTACAAATTCCTCTATAAGATTTCGTACTAAAGGAGCTATCGTAAAGCTATAGTGATATAGACTAGGTTATAAGTATCTCGTCTCGATAACTTTATGATTTCCTTTTAAGTACGGAAAGTAGGTAGCGGGTATAGACCTAATAGGTAGGAGTTGTTAATCGTATTAATCCTAGTACTTTAAAACAACGGCGACCTCGAACGCTATCGGAGTATCTAAGTTCCGAAGACGAAAGATAGTTTAATAAAAGAATCTATAGTAATAAGCGTAATAGCTAAAGTAGTGATTATCGCCTAGGCTCCTCGTTTAGAGACTCGACGATACTGAAGATATAATAAGCAAAGACCGAGGGACGTTTCCTTTTATATTATATCTCTCTTATCGTTTTCTTAAGGGAATCTTAGGGAAAGTAATAATCCGTATCCTATAATATTATACTAAGTAATTACCCTTAATAAGCGTGATTCCCGAGGTAAAAATTTGAGTTATACGTTAAACTATACGTATAAAAATTAGACGTTCGGATTATAGCTTATATACCACCTTCTAAGGTTAGATAGCGGCAATAGTTGAGTTTTCTATATTATGTTAAGACTCTAGTCCGTGACTTTATTAAGAAATTCGTAGATCAAATAAAGAAATTAAAGTATTAGGAATGATTTACGAAGATTTGCGGCGTAATAATGTTAAAATAAAGAGCTTAGACGGGCGTTAATTATCGAATTTTACCGCTCTATATTAAAATATCGATCGACTTTATATCGATTACGAGCGGTAAAATAACAGCTAAGTTAACTAGAGATAGGAGATCTAAAACGTTTTCTTATAATATAAAGTAGTGTGCGTATATTAGTAGTAAAAAGCTAATAATGTAAATATATATACGTATACGTAGAGGAATAGAAGTAACTTAGAAAGGATTAGACAATTCGTTATTAAACTCTAATTTGTATAACGCTATACCTATTACGGTTAGCCTATACCTAACTCACACTATCTATAAATAATAGTATAAAAATAGCTAGTTAAGAGAGAAGAATTATAGGCTACTATAATTCTATCGACCGTTTCCTCGAAAGGAAGGAGAAAGAAGGACGGTATATATACTTAGGGGAGCTTATAAATTTTAATAATTTATACTTATATAGATATATAAAGCTTATTAAGCTAGAGATAGGGGCGGAATATTAATCGAGGTATAATAATAATTTATAGATAATATCTCTTATTCCTAATCCTTTAGCTTTATAAATAAAGTATCCGCTGTGATTGCCTTAATCTAATCTTAAGGAACCTTTCTTAGAACCTAGAGAGAACCCTTTAAGTAAACCTTATGACCTTCAACCTAATCGGGCTATGCTCGAAGAAGTATCGGAGTTGTTAGTAGAACCGAGTGGAGATAAGACGTGTTTAAGTAGGCTATGACTACTGATTTGTAATAGTCGGTAAGAATGCGGTCTATTAAGAGGGTAATGTACCCGCCGAACAATTTCTTATTATAGTAGTATATCTACTATATAAGGCTTAAAAGTAGGAGAGACTCTACCTCCTACCCGAGAGGATAGAGCTTAAATATAGGATTATAGCCCTAGAACAGTAATCTTATTATCTTATTTTAGGGTTTATCGGAAGTAGATATAGAGTATAACTTTAGAATATCAATATAATATACGGTAAGCTAGTACCTTAGTTTCTATACTTATATATATACGCTTAGCTAAGTTACTACTATTATTATAGGAGGGTGCCGGGTATTGTTCCGCTAATGATCGGTATCCGCGAATAGTTCGAAAAAGAGAGAGTAAGTATTGTCGTTTTATAACTCTATATATTTTTATTATAGGGCTCGTAAGAATAAAGAGTAGTTATATACCGTAGATTTCTACGTACCGGCTGCGACTTTTATATAGAGGTTTTCGTAATAACAACATTCCTAGCTAGTATAATTAACTTTTCTTATCGCTAGAAGGTAGACCGCCTAGGGCGAAAAATAGTCCGCCCTAGGGTTTGTTTACTAAATCGTTTAATAGGAGAGTGCTCTCGGATACGTTAAGAAAATGCTAGATATAACTAAGATTTATATCTAAACGCTCCTCGATTAGCCTTTAACGCTCGCTAAGGTCTTAACTACTCTTAACCACTCTTAACTACTCTTCTTAACCGCTCTTCTTAACTACTCTTCTTAACTACTCTTCTTAACCGCTCTTCTTAGCCGCTCTTCTTAACTACTCTTAACTACTCTTAACCACTCTTCTTAACCGCTCTTCTTAACCATACTTCTTACTTACTCTTCTTAACCACTCTCAACCACTCTTAACCACTCTTCTTAACCATACTTCTTACTTACTCTTCTTAACCACTCTTAACCACTCTTAACCACTCTTCTTAACCACACTTCTTACTCACTCTTCTTAACCACTCTTAACCACTCTTAACCACTCTTCTTAACCGCTCTTCTTAACCATACTTCTTACTCACTCTTCTTAACTACTCTTAACTACTCTTAACCACTCTCAACCACTCTTAACCACTCTTCTTAACCGCTCTTCTTAACCATACTTCTTACTCACTCTTCTTAACTACTATCAACCACTCTTAACCACTCTTCTTGACCACTCTTCTTAATTACGCTGTTTACTGTAGTTAATAATGAAGAGAATTGCTAGCTCGTGATATCTGGTTTTCTGGAATGCTTAAGCAAATGGCCGTTGCTATTTTATTAATGATGGTAGCTCTAAGTTTATACCTACAGAGCCTATCCTTAGCGAGGGACTAACTATGTAGGTGTATCTGATTTATTCTTTGAGGTTACTAGAAGGACTACGTGATATCTAATTACCAAAGCCGTGGGTATATATAGACTTGATATATGGATAGAGCGAAAAATAGAGTAATTTCTATTCTCTCTAAATTAAAAGAAAGTTTGCTAACTACTAGTATCGTATATACTTTATTTAAGTAAGACCACACCTATATAGCGGGCGTTTTGATTTAGAAGTAGAAAGCGGGACCTTTAGAGTGATAGATATTATTAAGATAGTGAATATACCCCCTATACGATAGTCTTACCTATTATATAGTATCTAGAAAGACTAAACCCCTACCGACGAGGCCGGTCTAGGCCCCCGTGAAACCATTAAGTAGTCGCGTATTTCGATAATTACCTATCGCCTAAAAGCTATTACGAAAGGCTAAAGCGTTTTAGTAGCTAAAGTACTATAGACTTATACCATAGGTAAGTAATTCGGTAATAACTATCTAGTAGTATATCTTTTCCTATTTAGGTAGTATTAGTATAAGCCTGTAGTACTACTAATTCCCTAGGCTAGGGATAGGTTCTTTAATTTTATTCTTAGTAGCTATTACTAGAGAATAACGAGTAGTAGGTATTAGACCGCGGTAAAAAATCTATTATTATAGTATCGTATTACACTTAGAGGACCCGATCGCTATATATACTCAAAGCCTAGTATAGCATTAATTGAAATATCTTTCTATAAAGTAGCTAAGCCCTAGAAGCTTCGTAGATAAACCCTAACGTGCCTATAGTTGCGTTCCTTAGCGATAGTATACGCTGTTTAGCTATTCGAATCTTTTAGTCGCTTTTTTATACTACGCCGATTAGCTAATAACTATATAACCTTATAATGCCTACTAGCCGTAGTCTACTAGAAAGATATTCTCCCCTAGTCGTCTACCATATTTATATTTATATTAGGACGCTCTAATAATATTTTGATAATTTCAAACCTACCTAGAGCCGACGTAAATATTAGCGTAGTAAAGGAGGAGTAATGGTTTTAGTTATTAATTAATAAAGATCCTTCGTAGCTAACTAGGAGATAGATAATGTCGATATACTCTATTTTTATTACGATCTAAAGTAGCAACGTCCCCGATAGGCTTATTTGGTTGATATCGGCTAAATTCTATAAGAGAAATTCCACCGTTGCAAATTGTCCTACGCGATATACTAACTAGAGCGGCGGAAATATATTAGTAAATTAAGGGCTTTTATAAGGCCCTAGCTATCGGAAGAGGACTTTGACTAAGTCTAAGGAGCTATTCGTAGTAGCCTTTACTAAAGGTATATAGCCTAGCTTATCGGCGTAATTAAGGTCTAGATATATTTGCTATAAGAGGAGCTCGATTAATTTAATATCGGAATTGCTTACTATATACTATATTACGGTGCGTCTATTCTTATCTTAATGATTAAGGTTGAGGTATAGACTTAAAAGTAAGGCTTTAATAATAAGCAGCCGTTTGTTAATAGGGAGGAAACGGCCGCGTCCTTTAATAGCTAGAAGCAACGGAGTTTCCTATCGATGGTTAATATAGTTAATATTAACTCGAGGATTCCGTATAAGTATTTAGATTGCTTTATAGTCGCTAATTTCTATCGCTAGGTATAGTGGCGTTTAGCTATAATAGTCGTAGATATTGATATTTGTTCGCTTATTAGATAAGAGAAGTTGGAAGATATAAGTTTAGCGATAGGTTAGCGCAATTGAAATAGGCGCAATTCCCTCTAGTGATTAGTTATTAAGATTAATATTCTATATATTAAGGAGTCGTTCGATAATTCTAACGCTTCTATATAGAACAGCGATCGAGAAGGCACTTTCTCCTAAAGTATTACGCTATATAATATTTACTAAATAATAGCTTAAGAGCAAATTAATAGCGTCTACGTACCGTAACTTTATAGCTAATATAAGCGGTATAAGGCTAGAAAACCTTCGGTTGATATCTACCTTTTCTAAACCTAGAAAGTGTTGGACGATGCCTAAGCTTCTATATTCGATTGCCTAATAAATTAGCGGGGTGTCTTAAAAGTCTATGTAATCAATAAGGCTCTTCCTAAAGACGACGTAGGATTCCCGAGATATAAGATATAGACTTCGAAGGTCTTTCTTATCGATAGACTTGCTAATCTATAGAAGTAATTCTAGTAGAAGTCCTAAAAGCGGTATCTCGGTAGATTGCGTAAACGTATAGATAATAACTATCTATATAG